CCCTGCGGCGAGGGCCCCCCCCCCTTTTGACTCCCTCCAGAGGGATGCAACGATGGAAGGGAGGAGGAAGGATTAACTGTACCGCAGTCCACAGCACGAGTGTGTGTGTGTGTGTGTGTGTGTGTGTGTGTGTGTGTGTGTGTGTGTGTGTGTGTGTGTGTGTGTGTGTGTGTGTGTGTGTGTGTGTCTCACAGGTTTCTAAATGGAGGTATGTGTATTTCCATTATTCATTTGCTTGGAGTCTTTTCTGCATCCACTTTGTTCACAAGCTCTAATGGTCGCACTTCCAGAGTAGGTTTCGCAACAGGTGGATTTTTTTTCTCCTAATACATCATCTTTCAATTACAATTTTCTCTCCCTCGCTACTCGACTAGTTGACTACCACTTTTTCATTGTGTTGTTTTTATTTATTATAAAAAAAATAATAATAATGTAGCATTTTTCAGCATCATACAAATTCAATAAAAATGTAAAAAATGTAACTACACGGCTCTATGAAGACTCAGCGCTGTCCGAATTGCTGCCCGCCTCACATGCCTCCACTAGCTGATGACAGCGTCTCTCCCCATTGCAGTCTCTGACTCAGTTCCTTGGCTGGTCGGTGCTCAACCCGGACACGTACGACAAGATGAACAAGCTGGAGAACCGCAAGGACATCTTCCAGGACATGGTGCTCTACCACGTCAAGTGTCGCAAGGACGAGATACAGAACGTCTTGGTCAGTGAACACCTCCGTCTCTTGATGAAGATACGTCATCATTTTGATGCACTCAGTCCCTAGTTATGTGTTCATAAAAGTTCAATGACAAATTTGTTTGGATGAAATTTGGTAGGAATGTTTATCATGAGTAGACACATAAAAGTCGACCATTTTGCGGCCATTTAATCCTTACGAGCAATTTAAAAAAACATAGATCCTGAAGCCAGGTTTTCAGCAGCATGAAATTTAGTAGACATGTCTATCTTGAGTCGACCCACAAAAAAATTCTCAAGAGGCCATATCTGAAAAGACATTTTAAGCAAAAGCCACTTGTCAACATGAATGTGAAATTTGGTCAGCATGCCTGTCATGGGTAGAACAACAAAAATATTAAAATAACAAATGCTTGATTTTGAGAATTTTCAAGAGTCCCTCAAAGACAAACTTGTCAAAGAGATGTTATCCAATCGCTATAAAAATGTCCAATTCAGACACAAAAACCTGTACAGTATTCATACCAATGCGGCAGATATTTGAATCTTCCACGTAAGACAGAAGAAACCTAAATTGCAACATTTCAGTTTTTTTTTTTTTTTTTTCCCCTTTGGACAATGCGTGTTGGCACAGCTTGGCAGCTCTGATGTTACCGCTCCTAAGTGATCTTACCTTTGCATTCTCAGAACACCCGCGAGCGGTGGGGGAAAGAACCGGATGAGTGTGAAGAGGAGGAGCTGGAAGAGATCCTGGTGACCGACAACAATCAGAACAACAAATCCAAAAACGCAACACACACCTTTCCGAAATGATCCAGTAAATTACAAGAGTCAAACTCGGGTCCTCGAGGGCCACTATCTTGAATGTTGGAGGGGATAAACACCAAAAAAATGCAGGACAGCGGCCCTCGAGGAACGGAGTGTGAGACCCATGCCATAAATGATGTGTTTGTCCTGTTTCCAGTCGGAAGTCCTCCCCAATGCCAGGAAAGTCGAGATTCTGGAATTTCACTTCTGTGACTTTGAGCACAGCGAGTTAGACCTGGTCAAGTGTGGCATCAGAATGTACTACGAGCTCAAAGTGGTGGACAAGTTTCACATTCCCAGAGAGGTGACCACTTCTTTTGTTAGCTCATTTTAGGACTTTCACTTTGGAAAAATAAAATTGTCTGTTGGGTGCCTTTCACTGCTGCACACATGCAAATCGGCATACAAACAGGTCTGAGAGCTTTGTGCTGGTCGGAGCATAAATCTCTCAAAATTCAAGGTTACAATTATAGTCAACAACCTTAATTTATGTCAAGTCAGCTTTTATTGTCAAATATGCTCTATGTGTAACATATAGCTTGACACACGTTGATACACGTTCCATCCGATTGTCTCCAAACTTGGTGCACACATAGAGGTGGCAAATCCGGGTCTGGAAAGTATAAAAACCCTCCCACAGGTCCTTCTACTCAACTGGCAGGTACACAAGCACATTGACATGCCAGTTGAGTAGAAGAATCTGATGCCAATGCCAAACTGTGGCAGGGTTTTACTTTCTGGACCTGGATTTGCCAACTCTGGTAGTCGGTAATTAGCCACTTGGGGGATTGTTTTTTTTGTTTTTTGTGCCAATCAGCTTTTTTTTACGTGTACGTTCAAAATTCACCAGTAATGGCAAAATCCAATAGAAACAAACCAGATCAACTAGTCACATATCAAACTACAGGTCTTAAGGGCTTCTCAGATCCCAACTTATGTTGTTTATATCCTCTCATATGACAACATAAATGCAAAAAAACTCCCCTATAAACTGACTTTTTTGGGCCGGGGGGTTAGACTCAAATTGTCTCCTTGTGAAAGCCATAACACAGATGCAGTTTCAGAGTTTTATTTAGAGATACCAAGCGAGCGGTCATCAGCAGGTAGTTCATTTATAATGAAGCATTGCTGGTCGCCTGCTGTGCGTCCTGAAAATAAACTCACTGCAAAGCTATTTTTAACGTTTATTTGAACTAATGGAGGCCTAACGGTTTGTGTGTGTGTGTGTGCATGCGCAGGTACTCGTGAGGTTCATGTACTCACTTAGCAAAGGCTACAGGAAAATCACCTATCACAATTGGAGACATGGATTCAACGTTGGACAGACCATGTTCACGCTGCTCATGGTCTCTCTGTCTCTCTCACACACACACACACACACACACACACACACACACACACACACACACACACACACACAAACACACACACACACACACACACACACACACACACACACACACACACACACACACACACACACACACACTTCATAAGTAGACTCACAAATAAGTCACACAAATCCATGCACAAAAACACACAGGAAGTATGCTATTCTTGGAGACATTTTGAGGTTCATTTTGACAATTTCCAGGATGTAATACAAAGAGAAATTTCTCTATTTGAAATTGACAGGCATGTTTATGCCAAGTAGACTCACCCAGTCAAAAAAAAAAAAAAAAAACAGCAACAACAAAAAACAACAACAACAAAAAAACATGAATAAAGGACACAGAAAGTCTGCCATTTTGGGATGTGATAAGGATGTAAAATGGACCCAAATGCACAATTGACACATTTGAGAAAAAGACCTTGATTGAAAGCTGGAAAAAAAAAACAATGCAAGAAACGTCACATAGAAACTCAGCAAAGTTGAAGCTTCCTGTCATGAATTGGTTCAGGGCATGGCAGGAGATGAGACGATCTGAAAACAAACAGGGGGAGATGCAAGGGGTCACAAGGTGGAGACAATCACCATAACGAGGAAACACGAGGGCAGGAAGTATAGCTTCTGAAACAAGAGGAAAGGATTACTACACAATAAAAGCAAGCATGACCACATGAAAGAAACGACTACAAACTGAGAACTTCACATAAATGACAAGACATGACTGTTTCAATCAACCATTTCAGAGTCATTTTGAATTAAAAAAGCATTCAGCCCTCAAAACATGTTTCACTTAGTAACAGGAATTTTGTTGACATGTCTATCATGAGAAAACCCACAAAAAGGTCTCAAGAAGACATGCCCAAAGACAGGAAATCTGCCAGTTTTGTTTGGACCAGTCAGTTTATACTGTATCTGTTTTGGCCATTCAAATTATTAAGAAAAAAAAAATTCAGCCCCTGATACCATATTCACTTAGCCAAACAAACAAAGACGTCAGGCATCTCTATTATGACTAGATCCTCAAAAAAGTACAAGTTAAAAAAGAAGCATTAAAAGTCACATGAAGTCTGATATTTTGGTCATTCAAGCAAAAAAAAAAAAAAATAAAAAAAATCAGTCATCAAAAGCCAGTTTTTACAAAGCAAAATGACATTTGGTGGGCATGTCTACTATGAGTAGACCCACAAAAAACTCTCAAGTATCAATTCCCAAAGCCTCACCAGAAGTCTTCCATTGTGAAACAGTCATTTGAAATAGTTATAAAAAGACACACTTGGGCTACAGATTTGGTACAATTGCCACCTACTGGACAGCTGGACAACACTAAATCAAAAAACATTTTAGTGGTCATGACTGGGAGGAAGGATGACTCGCTATAAAGCACAAAAGTCTGAGTCAGCTCGGCAAGGTCAGATCTTGACATGAAAGTCAGAAATGAAAGCGTGACGTGGTTTGTGCGTGTTTCAGACAGGCGACCTGAAGCGTTACTACACTGACCTGGAGTGCATGGCCATGGTGACCGCCGGCTTCTGTCACGACATCGACCACCGAGGCACCAACAACCTCTACCAGATGAAGTGAGAACAAAAGCTGCGTTTGTCAACAAACAATGTTTGTTGACGTTCGCTAGCTCTTACAAACGCAATTCATCACCTGTAGTTAAATGAACCAACGCGTGCAGCAGGTGCAGCCAGTCCCGAAATGATCGTTCATGATTTAGGACCATGTAACCTCCCAAACTTAATGTGCGTTCATTCACCTTGGGTGTGTGTGTGTGTGTGTGTGTGTGTGTGTGTGTGTGTGTGTGTGTGTGTCCAGGTCGGGAAATCCTCTGGCGAAGCTTCACGGCTCGTCCATCTTGGAGAGACACCATCTTGAGTTTGGCAAGACTCTGCTGAGAGATGAGGTGTATTGCAGTATTCACACACACACACACACACACACAGTTTTTGTACAGTGTTGTGGAAAAGTATTTGTCCTCTTCTCAGTCTTCCCTTTTTGCATATTTTCCCCACTTGAATGTTGAAAGAGGAAGTTCGTGTCAAAAATTTTCTTTGCGCAACAGTAATATTTTTTATGTGCCCCCACTAGTCTAAACGTGGTACTCTGATTAATTTGGCGTTTGTGCAATAAGGATTTTCAGCCATCCGCAGACGTTGACATTTTATGCAGCAACACCCCCTGCTCTTGGCTGAAAGAAAAAAATGAGCTGCGACATTCGTGATTGCGGACCGTGGGCACTGTGACGTTAATATCAATCAACAGCGGGTGGCAGTACAGGACAAAATGGCAGCCTCCTTGGAAGGCTGAAAGGGGTGGAACACAGTGAAAGTCCTCTACAACGAAACCTACATGGGCGAAAATACCCCCTAGTGCAGGGGAAGGGAACTCTGGTTCCTCGAGAGCCAATTTAAATCAGCTAAAAATTAAGAAATCAATACTTTTATTTTCTATCAATTATTTTTTCACAAATGGATAGAAAATTTGAATGTTGCTTTACAACATAACCAAAAATGTAACTGATTTTTGGGTGGCTTTTTTTCTTAGTTTTGTGTCATTAAATTAAAAATAAAGAGTACACATATACGTTTTGTGCGTGTGTGTGTGTGTGTGTGTGTGTGTGTGTGTGTGTGTGTGTGTGTGTGTGTGTGTTTACATCTGAGATAAAATTTGCTATCGTGAAAAACCCCGTTGTGAAAAATTTCTTGCTGCAAACATGATTTCGTTGTAGAGGAGTTTCACTGTAGTGGGAACAAAAAGAACATACTATTGCAGAGAACATAACATAGCATTTGTGTGTGTGTGTGTATGTGTGTGTTGACATCTGGGTTGCTTGTTTCAGTCATTGAACATCTACCAGAATCTGAACCGCCGCCAGCACGACATCGTCATCCACCTCATGGACATCGCCATCATTGCCACCGACCTGGCGCTCTACTTCAAGTCGGTGCCGCTCGGCCGGCCAGCTCATCTCTGCCGCAGTCGGTCAATCCCATGATGCAATGCGGTTGTCTGTCCTCCCCTGCGCAGGAAAAGGACCATGTTCCAGAAGATCGTGGACCAGTCTAAGACCTACGAGAACTGGAACGACTGGACCAAGTACATGATGCTGGAGACGACACGCAAGGAGATTGTCATGTAAGCGTGTGAATGCAAACACATGCGCGCAAATTTTCATTCGTCAAGTTGCTTCCGCTGCGCAGGGCAATGATGATGACGGCATGCGACCTGTCAGCCATTGCCAAGCCCTGGGAGATTCAGAGCAAGGTCAGTGTGATGTCACTTGCGTGCGTGCGTGCGTGCGTGCGTGCGTGGCGTGCGTGCGTGCGTGCGTGTGTGTGTGTGTGTGTGTGTGTGTGTGTAGATCGATAGATAGAAAAAAAGGGCGAATTATAGTGCTAATTTTACCACCCACCTGCAGGTGGCGCTGTCTGTAGCTGCTGAATTTTGGGAGCAAGGAGACCTGGAGAGAACCGTCCTGGAGCAACAACCCATTGTAAGTGTTTGTGAGAGGAACACTTTCTGAAGAGTAAATCCACGGCAGCTGTTGGATTGATTCTCTCTTGTGTTCCTAATGAAGTGTCCAGCGGAGAAGGAAGAATCTTAACTACTGGCTTGCTTTTTGTCTCCTTTTTCAGCCCATGATGGACAGAAACAAAGCAGAAGAGCTTCCAAAGCTCCAATGCGGCTTCATCGACTTTGTCTGCTCTTTCGTTTATAAGGTCATGTCACGCCATTGAAAAGAATAAAGCCCCCCCTGCCCCCCAAAAGTCAGAATTACTTATTTTCTGGAGAAGTTGTCAATGTTTAAGACAACAAAGTTGTGTATTTCAAGGAAGAAGTCAATTTCAGAAAAAAAAAGTCAGAAAATTACAAAAATAACGTTTATGTTAAAAAACAAACAAACATTTTTTTCAGCATATAGTCAGAATTTAGGAGAATGAAGTGGATTTTTTTTTCACTCAAATTAGTTGGGGAGGTTTTCAGACATGTACAGTATTCTTTGTTATCTTCAAAGAACAATTAAAAATAATGCCGTAGTGAGAATACTAACAGTAATTTGGAAGGCTGGAACAGATGAATGGCATCTCCATTCTCTTCAACTGAGAAATATGATTTGTGATACAAGTGTTTTGAGTTAGAAACATTGTCAAAGAATGAATTACATTCATATATCAAGGCATCACGATATTCTCGATATTAAAGTCACATTTTTTTTAAGGGATAAAAAAATTGTCGTCTGATACAACTTAATTTGGATTTATTCTTACCAGACTTCAGTGACAACATAGCAATGTGATCATGACGTGACTTGTTGTCCTGTTTTGGTGTCAGGAGTTCAGCCGCTTCCACGTGGAGATCACGCCCATGCTCGATCGTCTCCTCAACAACCGCAAGGAGTGGAACGCCCTCAAGGAGGAGCACGACGCCAAGATGGCCGCCATGGAGGCGGCCAAGAAGGCCAAGGAGGAGGCGGCTGGCGCGGCGGCGGCGGCCAGACAAGGTCCGGGTCGCCACCGGCGCAACACTATCCAAAAATCGATCTTTATCACACCTAATCCGATGTTTTTCTTCCTGCAGCGAGTGCGGCCCAGTCCAAGACTTGTACGCTCTGCTAGAAAAATGCGTATCAAAACATTCCACATCAAGTCATTCACAAAAAAATACTGACTACCATCATGACGAGCGATAAAATAGAGTAGCGCGGGTTTTATTCCTTTAAAGTATATTTCATAGAATTATACGCTCCTGTAACATTGGACCCAGTTTGAACATGAACATGCGCTTAATATAGAATGAAGAACTCTACTTAAATCATGAATAAAAAGTAATGTACGGAAACAAGAAGTTCTAAAAGATTAAACGCTAATTGGATTTCAAAGTTAAATGAAAACAAACAGTATTAAACAAATGTATTAAGTAAAAAAAAAAAAGGGTAAGACAGTATAGCAGGGGACAGTTTAGACACACCTGATTCAAACGATCCAGATCGTTTGAATCAGGTGTGTTGGAGGTGGGAGACATCGAAAACAGGCTGGACAGCGGCTCTCCAGGACCCGACTCGGGCAACCCTTCTCGACACTTACGGAAACTGTACTTGATGTCCTTGATGCTTTGTGTGCTTGCATATTAAAAAATGGCTTTAATTGCTTCAAAAAATAGTAAATGATGCTATTTTCATACTCATACATGCTTGTCTTTTTCAGAAATGTGTTGTGCTACTGATTACTTTTATTTCATTTTTTTTTGTTGTCGTTATTGTGTTTGAGGTCGTTAGTCAGTGTATCATAGTCTTACAAGATTATTTTAGGAGAAAAGGTTGGGGGTTTTGAAAAAAAAAAAAAAAAAAAAAAAGTCAAAATGTTCCAGGATTCAAATGTTTTTTTCAGAGGGGGACATTTTTTTTTCTCGAAATTATACATTTTTTTCCCCCCTGAAAAAAAACCCACACACATTTTTAGAGTCATCTTTTCCCCCTTTAATAGGCTGTAGTTTTACAACATTAGTCATATTTCTTCCAGAAAAAGTCATAATTTTACCAGAAAACAAGTGTAACCTAGCTATAATTTTACAAGAAAAATCTTGAAAATTGCCTTTTTCGTTTTCTTAGTCATAATGGTCAGGGTAATCAAGTGTTGATTTTCAGTGAGGATTTTTTAAAATTATCATTATTATTAAGAGAGCTTAAAAGAGCAAAATGTCTTTTTTTTTCAATTTTTTTTAAGATTAAATTGACATTTTCTAAAGCCCTGTTGTGAGAATCTGTCAAGAGTAGTCTTTATTTTTCAGATTATTTTATTTAGAATACTTTTTTTTTTTTTAAAGAATAATTGATCGTCTTATTCTAGTGCATTTACTCGTACTTTTTTGGGCATGGCCATTCACGGGTGATAAGGGCCGAGTCCTGTAATTCCGGAGGTAATACAGACCATTCTCAGGAGTTGGTGAACTCTTTCTGTATTTTGTACCACTTCAGCAAAGCCATCACATTTCACGATGAACAAAATGACATTAAGAATATTTATATTGCCGCGAAATCGGGTGCAATTTGAACCAAAATGTATAAAAGGGATAAATGGATTCCTTGGAAAATGTTCTCCTGAACCCCAAAATGTTGAAGATTCCCTGCTTGAAGGAGCGAGAGACAGTATGCATGGCACCCTGCCATATGTGGGTCACGTCAGTGTTTCACAACAGCGCACATGATAGCCGAGCGATAATAAACCGGATGGAGCCTGCAAATGGGGTCACATACTCTCTAAATCCATCCTTCCACCCCCTCCGCGCTTTGTAGTAGCGCATACGTAGGCGCGCGTGTCGTCACCGCCTCGTGACGTAGCGCTGCTGACATAAGACTGCGGTTCAAAGGATTGCCGTATACGGCCATGATGCTGGCCAGGCCGAGCCATGACGCAGGGACAACCCGTGACTGCTGCAGAGAGAGGAAGAAAGGAGAGGGGGTGTGAAAGGGAGTTTTGGAGCTGGGGGGCAGCTGGAGCCATGACGACTATTTTTAGGCGCTCCCTGTTGTTTCCAAGCAGGATCTGAATCGACCGGCCGGCTGCGGTGTGCGGCACTCACGAAGGGTGCACAGTATGTTAGCATCATATGCTAATGTTTTTCAATGCAAGATGGGCTTTAGCATGAGAATCCAAATTCGAATTGTCTGCCAAATGAAAAAAAATAGATTTTTTTCTTACCCCCACCGATTTTTTTTAACCATTTGTTTAATATTAACAATTTGTTAAGTTCTTTTTACACTTGTGTGGAAGGTGTTTGATAAAGATATATATGAAAAGTGGCCGCTGTATATGCTACATGCAAGGATCCATGAAAATTAAATCGTTTTTTATTTTTCTTTTCTGTGGCCTATTTCTATTTTCTATTTAGTGGCCCGGTGGGCCAGTGGTTAGTGTGTCGGCCTCACAGTGCAGAGGTGCAGGGTTTGATTTTGGCTCCGACCTTCCCTTGTGGAGTTTGCATGTTCTCCCTGTGTGGGTTTTCTTCAGGTATTCCGTTTTCTTCCCACATTCCAAAAAACATGGATGGAACACTCTAAAATGTCCCTCGATGTGATTGTGAGCGTGGACGGTTGTTCGTCTATGTGTGCCTTGCCATTGGCTGACTTAAAATGATTTTATGTATGTGGTTTCGCGGCATAATGGCCGCCCTCTGTTGATATTTACGTTTCGGTGAGTGAAGGCCCCCTGTATGCAAATCTTCCTGGGGCGAATTTTGGTCCCAGTAAGTCTCTGGTTGTCGGTACAGCAAGAGTGACAGGAGTGACACTTAGAGGAGGCTGAGGAAAAAAGACGTGGAGGTTTTTCTCTGTCTCTCAGTGAGATTATTGGGTTTGGTGTGTGCGTTTTGCAAAACTGTTTTGATGTTGATAGCAAATACCTTGCATAAAATAAATAAATAAATCAATAAATACTTGAAATTTGCATCCCTGCAGAAGTATAGGATCAAAGTATGACCTCAAGCTGACATTGTCTCCCTTGTGCACAGAGAAAGCAAAAGTCACATTTGTTTTTTTCGTTCCTCCCATCTGTGCCGTCGGCACATTGCGTGCTATTAATATTACGACTACTAGGATGCCTTCTGTTTATTGTTTGATAAAAACTTCTCCAAGAGTTTGAGCCTTAATTGCTTTTGCAAGAGATTTTTTTTAAATTTGTTAGCAAATAATGGGCTTTGTCCATCAAAAAAAAAAACTATAAGAAAGGTCAGTTTGTGAAAGTACATTTAAGAAAAGTGCATAGGTGGAATATACTTGAAAGTTATGTTCATGAAAGGATTCTATTTTCTCGGGTCATGTTTGAGTTTATAATTAAATGCGCTTAACTTTGGCTTTGGAACTCAATTGATGATCCCGGTATGTAAAATGGTGCATTCGTAATTTTAAAAGAAGCGCAGTGTTGTTATCTCCCACTTTAAGGACACGCCGCTTGTGTGGGATTTATGGTTAGTCATCAATCAGTGTGGTTATCTTGAGTTAATGAGCCCTTGCTCTTCATTTCTATGCATGTTCTTCTCTCCTTTATCGTCTCATCCTGATGAATACAGATGGAATTTCATCACGGCGCTCAGCTACGCAACATTTCCATCCAAACGTAAAGCAACTTTGACTTCCAGTGCCTTGAAAAGTATTTTAAGCCCTTGAACTTTTTCCCACATTTCGCCACCTTACAACCATCATTTTCAATGTTTTTTCATTGAGAGTTGATATGATCGACCAACACAAAGTAGCACATACTTGTAAAGTGGAAATGACACAGAGGCAAAACAAGTCCTGCATCAGAACTTTCTCAAGCCACCTTTCCCTCGAAATACAGATTCAAGTCTTTGGAGGGATGCCTCGAGCAGCTTTGCACATCTCGACGCAGAATTTTTTTTTTTGCCCCTTTTTTTTCTTTGCCAAAACGCTCAGGTGGCGAGCGTTTGTGATCAGCAGGTTTCAAGTCTTGCCACAAACGCGCAGGGGGATTTAAGTCTGGACTTTGACTGGGCCAGTTGAACTCATGAATATTCTTTCATGTCATTTTCTGGTTGGAAGATGAGAGAAAAAAATGGTTTATGTACAGTATACATTGTAGATTTTTGAAGGTTGCTCATCTATGTTATCTGCTGCAGATGAAAAGCCTGTATGGAAATACAGTCATCTCTCCCCACTTTGCGCTTCACGTAGTGCGGCGTCAGTGATTGGCGAGTTTTTCCCAAATACTGTACAGTATTCATTAAAAAAATAAAACTAAAATACTACGAATAATAATGAAAAAAAATACAGCCTTCTCGGCAGCCATATTGAGGAAAGACGCACTATTTCCTATTGACGCGCGAGAGAGAAGGTTTTCCTGTATGCCGACCAAAGTGATGAGTTTACTCAGCGGCTTTGTACATGCCTGTACTCTACTGTACATGCTCACTCAAACAAGGCACATGATTGGTTCCCGGCGTGACACGGACCAATGAGAGCACAAGTGGATTTATCCCTTGAGGTGATTGGCTGCGACTCCTCGTTTTCCCTTGTGACTCGCTAGTCTCGCCCACGCTGTTGAGTGTCTCGCATACTGTGTCTTAGTGTTGTGTTTGCGATAACTTTTTGATCAGTTAAGCTGCGTTCCAACCCCTTGCCGCCGCCGAAGCAATGCGTCACAGGTGTGTGGGAGCATGCTCGTCCCTCCAAGAAGATGGCACCATCAACAGGGACACATGACTTCGGCGGCAGCGGGGGATTGGTTTGCAGCCTTGACCGGGTCGGGGAGCCTTATTTTGAAAGTTTCCCGACCCGGTCAGCTGTTTTTTGAGACACGTCACAAGGAAGCGGTGACAGTTCAGATGAAGGCTGAAGTGACAGCCGAAACTATCAGTGAGGTAAGAGTTTTTTTCTTCACTAAAAAAAAAAAAAAAAGACCATTGTGTGATAAAAAAGAAACCTTAAACCTATTTCAACTGATTAGAAGACAAGATGAAGGTCATAAGCGCTACCCATCACCAATTTAAAAAGCGCAGCTACACCGTCAGCACCTCCAGCAGGAGAGTCTCCGAGTGAAGCTTAGGCCGGTACGAGTCAAGCGAGAGGCTTCTTATACGCCACCTACACAAGCCTCTTCGCTTCTCTCAGAAGTCAATGCTGATGAATGTTAATCACGTATACGGTTTTATAATTTAGATACAGGCATACCTCGGTTTTCGACCATAATCCGTTCCAGAAGGCTGTTCGAAAACCGATTTGTTCGAAATCTGAAACTATTTTATTAGCCCATGATTAGGGGCTAATACACTATGAAGAAATAAAAAAAGTCAGATTGGCGTAAATCACCACAAATACGTCTCCTTACGATGAACGTTACACGAGGAAGCGTCACTTCCTCGTGTAAAGAAGCCGAGAGGAGTCGAGTGGCGTGATTTGCATAGTTTGGTCGTAATCCGAGGCGTAAAAATCTCGAATTTTCTGGTCAAAATTCGATTTGGTCGAGAACAGAGACGTTCGAGAACCGAGGTTTTACTGTATAAGTAAATACGTGAACTGTTGTTACCTTTGTCTCAAATATGTAAAGTATAAATCCTGTTTACGCATTTGCTGCTACCCACATACACATCCACAAAAATTCCTGTGGGGGAGTGTCACGTTGCGTACTAGGCAGAAGGAGAGAGCTGCTTCGTACGCAACGGAGCGAACAAGAATAGGTGGATCCCCGAAATAGCAGGCACTGAACAAGGTCTTGTCTATCAAATAATATTTATTACAAACGAAAAAACACCGTCAAAAGGAAAACACAAAACGCTGGTCAAAACGAGAACCAGGAATTAATGTAACGTGAGGAAAAGAAAGCGCTTGCAAAAAACGGCAAGGAAAAGATAAGACAATTTACTTCGAATAACTACGCGTTAAAGAGGATCCCACTGGGATGACGAAATGGTCGCGAATAGCAATAGAGTGCGAGATACGAAATACGAGCATGGGCAATAGCAGTGGCACGGCAAGCAATACTCCGGCAATGAGTTGAAGGCCAGAGCGCCTAGATAAAGCAGGTGCAATCACAAACAAATGCGCAACAGGTGTGCAGGTGGCAGAGTGAGTGCCTGCCACCTGCTGTCGAATACGGAACATGACAGGGAGGAGGGGGCAAATCCTACTTTGCGTTTTTTCACCTTTCGCACTGTATGCAGGTATGGCTGTTTGAAAGTGCTCTATACAGTTGAGTTGAGTTGAGTAAAAAACAAGGATGACTGTATATGTGGTACAATGTTGCCGATGTGTTTGGTCCTGATGGACCTGCTGCGTGGAGAAGAAGAAGAAGAAGACGGATAAAGGACAGGACAGGAAGTACTTGACAGGATGAATTCCAACACTCGTGTCACCTCTTGTTTCCACTCTTCTTCTTCTTCACACACACATGCGTGTAGGTGGGTGCACACTCGCACACACACACACACACACACACACACACACACACACACACACACACACACACACACACACACACACACACTCTCCCCGGCTGAATCGACAAGAGGAGACATCAGTAGCTACAATTTGTGTTATTTTGTAGCTTTAACCAACACCTCCAATCTCGTCACACACAAAAACTCGGAACTTGTTTCTCAAGGCACAAGTGTTCTCATGGTATTGCACTTTTTTTTTCTGATGGCTTATCAGCACATTTTTTTGTGGCTATTTTTGCAAAATTCTTCACCCAAATACTGAAGAAAACCTTTCACCTCATTGGCAAAACACCGTCGCTCTCTTGCAAAAGCAAAGAAGTCTTGCTTAACTCTTCAAGCCTTCGTAAAAATTTGTATGTTGGCAGTGTATGGGGTGACACTCCAGTGGATATGACACTGTAGTGACTGATGTGAAACAGAACTTTTTTTTTTTTCCACAAACAACATTTGGCCTGTGGCTGTCGGTGATCGGGATGACGCAAAAGCATCCACAGTAGTGATTGATGCACATTCACCGTTCACTCTTGGGACGGAAAAGTTTGAAATGAAGACGAGGAGTGCTGCGAGTGCTGTTGATAAGGGTTTTATTTCTTGAGGCAAATCAATGAATATATGTCCTTTATACAGTATATGAGGAGCACGTCTCTACAGTTTCATAATGTAAACAATCTCTGAAGAGAAAAATGTATTCAGTTTTAAAAGGAAGCCAGCGAACTCCTGTTTGAAACTATGTACACCAATTAAAATATAATTTATAACAAGAACATCTATGAAACTAGATTTGAACAATTCAAAAATACTGAAATGCCTTTACCCCCCCCCCGCCCTTCTCTTCTCCACATTCTTCACCTGACGTGAAAACACACACAAAGGAAAAAAAAAATGGAGAATAAAAAGAGAACAACACCTCAAAAAACATCCAAGCTAAGTGGAGCATAAATTAAAAAACAAAACAAAACATGTAAAAATATAAAATCTCACTAGAAGTCTTTAGCATATTTTATGTTAAAAAAAAAGAGAATCAAGTGAGTGTGATAGTCCTTAGAAGTCAAAATAAAACATATGCCCTTTGTCTTATATTGTTCCACACACTTACATTTACTTTTATCACTTTTATATTTCTTCTTTTATTTATATTAATTGTTTAACGTAGAATCATTTGCCTACCAAGTGCTCATTTGACATCCTTAAAGGTTTGTGTGATAAAATGATTTAGTAGAAAAAAATAAATCAACATTTTAGCATGTGAAGAGAAAACGAGGAAGCCGCCAACCTTTTTAATGTTTTTTTTTTTTTTTTTTTAGTGTGCGTGCGTGCATGTGTGTTTATGTGTGTGTCAAGTTTTACAGTTTTTCTTGCCGGTTTCTCCCCACTTTTCCCAAACAAAAGCAGGAAGTATTGCATTGGGGCGACAATCTCTTTCCCTTTGGAAGATTTGATTATTATCATTATTATAATTGATATTTGGATTGATTGGAACTAGCCCAAGTGGACAGTGCTTATTATTACACTTGAAAATGTGTCCAAAAAAAAGGTCAACATCAAAGTTTTCTATAAGAAAGTATATTATCATCTAGATATATCTACACAAACACACAAATATATATTGACATATATTCATATATATATATATATATATATATATACATATATATATATATACACATATATATATACATATATATATATATATACACATATATATATACATATATACATATATACACACACACACACATATATATATATATAGGTCGGGATTGGATTAGAGGGTGCCGTGTGGAAGGGGAAAGGCCTACTGTTGATTTTAAGGCTTCACCACAATCACGCAATGATATGATGACAAGATGACATGATGAGGATACTACAGGGAAAAAAGTTGTCAAATGTAAACAAAAAAAAAATTAATGGTAGGTTTTAGGTTTGAATTCAAGGTAAATTTTGTTTTTCTGGAAGTTTACATTTGTGTGTGTCTGCGTTTATGTAAAATGGAATCATACACGTGGCTAAATTTAAATGTAAGTTCCTATGAATGCTTGTGGATAAATGTACTGCAAGTAACTTGGTGTTTCTAAGTTTATGAATGTAAATTGATGCCAGTTTGTGTATGCAAGTTCAAATGTATACACTTTTGTTTACGTGAATGGAAGTGTGTGTAAGCAAAGCTTGTGTAGATGTGTGTGTACATAAATATGAATGTTTGTGGATCTACTGTAAATTGCTATATCTAAGATCATGGGCAGGTAAGCTGATGTGTGTAAGTGTGTGGATGTACGTTTCAAAATGAACATACTTCTAAACATGGGTGCGTCAGAATCAAAGGCAAAATTGTGCCGCCACAAAATCCCAACTGCTAACTGGGATTTCTCCAACATCATCGTCATCATCATCATCATTATCATCCCATTCCCTTTCCTCTTGTTGCGTCACCCCCACAATTCCAGTCGGGACGAAAGTGTGCAAGATTACTATTGATTTTTGTACACGTGTTGATCACATTCCTCCTGATGACCATTGTTACGTATTGCCTCCAAAAACAACGTGGACCCCCCCC